TGGCTTTTTAAAAGATTCCACATATAAGTAAGATCATAAGATATTTTTCTCTGTGTCTGATTTATTTCACTTAATAAAATGCCCTTTTAGGTTTACCCTTGTTGCAAATGAAAGAATTTCTTTTTCGGGGTAGTTTTGGACTAAATAGCATTCTGTTTTGTGTATCTACCACATTTTAAAAGTCCATCTGTTCATGAATGCTTCAGGTGGTTTCTACATTGTGGTTATTTTGAATACTGTAATGGACATGTGTGTGCCAACAGCTGATGTCAATTTTTCTGACTGTATAGCAATTTTGATATGGTAATTCTATTTTTAGTTTTTTGAGGGATCTCCATAACTGGTTTCCAAAGTGACTGTACTAATTTATAATCCCACCAGCAGTCTTATAAGGGTTTCCTTTTCTCCCCATCCTTACTAATACTTAAATATTTCACTTTTTTGGGAAACTAGCAAATCTAAAAATAGGTATGAGGTTGGTTTTAATTTGTATTTCCTGATTAGAGATGGTGAATGCTTTTTCTCATATACTTAGCCAGTTGTATGTCTTTTGAGAAATGTTTAAGTTTTGCCCATTTAAAAAATAGTTTTCTTTTTATACAGTCGTTCTTACAAGCTTCTTCGATATTAACCCTTAAACTGATGCATGAATTGCAAATATTTTTTTCTCCCAATGCCTAGATCTTCTCTTAACTCTTACTTACTGCTTTCTTTGATGTGCAGAAACATTTTAGCTTGATTCAGTCATGTTTGTTTATTGGTATTGGCATCCATGTTTTGGATTGTGGTGGCATATCATCTCTAAGAAGTCACTGTCCAGAACAGTGTCGTGGAACATTTCCCATATGTTTTCTTAGAGTAATTTTATAATTTTATGCATTTAGGTTGTTGATCCACTTTGAGTTGATTTTTGATTATAGCACAAGATTGTCTAGTTTTGTTATTTTGTGTATGGGATTTCCAGTTTTCCCAGCACCACTTATTGAAGAAACTGTCCTTTTCTTGGCATCTGTGTTGAGAATCAGTTGACTGTAGATGCGTCGTGTTGTTTTTGGGGTTTCTGTCCTGTACCTTTTGTTTATGTATACTTTTATGCCAGTACCATCCTGTTTTAATTACTGTAGCTTTGTGATAAAATTGGATATTCAGGTATGTCGTAATTCCAGTTTGTTTGGTTGACATTTCTTTGGCTCCTCAAGGTCTTTTCTGGTTCCACACACACTTTAGGATTTTGTTTTTTCTGTCAAGATGGCATTGGAATTTTTATAGGATTGCATAGGATCTTTAGATCACTTTGAGTAGTGTGGACATTTTTTTGACACTATTCTATTAATCCAAGAACACATAGGATATCATCTTTTGTTCCTTCTATTAATATTTTCAGTATATGGAGCTTTCTTCTTGATTGTATTTATTCCCAAGTTTTTGTTTTGTTTTGTTTTTGATATTTAAGTGATGTTGTGTTCCTGATTTTCTTTTCAGACATTTCCTTTTTAGGATATAGAAATGCTGTGATTTTTGAAGATGATTTTGCCTCTTAAAACTCAGCTGAATTTGTTTCAATTCTAATGGATTTTTAAAGTAATCTTTAGCATTTCCTATGTTTAAGATCCTGTCATCAGTAGATAGAGACTTTCACTATTTGTTGACTTTCTTGCCTTACTGCTCTGGACAGAAGTGGTGATTGTGGACATCCCTACCTTTCCAGTTCCTAACTGTAGGGGGAACCTTCGATATTTTCGCATTGAGTATGTGTTAGCTGTATTTTGGTCGGATTTAGCCTTTGTTGTGTTGGGGAACATCTTTTTTTTTTAATGGCACTGGGGTTTGAACTCAGGGCCTCATGCTTGCTAGGCAGGGGCTCTTACCTCTTGAGTCATTCCACTAGTCCTTTTTTGTGATGGGTTTATTCGAGATAGGGTCTCAGGCATTGTTTGCCTGGCTTCATTTGAAAACATGATCCTCCTGATCTCTGCCTTCTGAGTACCTAGGAAACATTCTTTCTATTCAAAATTTGTTGAAAGGTTTTTTTTTGTTTGTTTGTTTTTTAATCATAAAAGGATGTCGACTTTTGTTAAGTTCTTTTTCATTTGATCATATGATTTTTGTCCTGTGGTGAGTCAGATTTACTGATTTGTGTATGTTCAGTTAACCTTGGATCCTAGCGATAAATCCCTCTTGATCATATACTGTTGAATATGGCTTACAGGTATTTTGTGTGAGGATTTTTGTATGTGTGTTCCTTAGTGATACTATTTTGTAGGTGTTTTGTTTGTTTATTGTAGTGCCTGTGTCTGGCTTTGGTATGAGGGCAATGTTGGCTTTAAAAAGGGTCTTGTGTTTTTTGTCTATGGCTAGCCTGGACCTTGATTCACCAACCTAAAGCCTCCCATGTAGCTGCTAGGTGCACTACCATTCCCAGCCTGTTGTTTAAGATGGGTCTTGCTAACTCTCCTCCCCTTTCCCCAGCTGGTTTCAAATTACAGTCCTCTGGATCTCTGCCTCCTGAATGGCCACGTACAGGTGTGAGCCACCGTGTCGGACCAAGAGTGTATTACTTAATTTCCACTTTTTTTGTTGTTGTTAATTTTATATAACTCCTTTTGTGTTTTGGGTTTTTATGTTTGTTTGTTTTTTCAAAGACCGAGTCCCATTGTGGCCCAGGCTGGCCTCAAACTCCTGATCCTCTTTTCCTTGGCCTCTCAGAGGTGGAATTGTAGTCATGTGCCACCATGTCTGACAGTTCCTCCTGTTTTTCATTTCTAATTTTGTACCATTACTATCAGAAGACATAACTGATAGGATATCAATCTTAAATTTCCTAAGACTTGTTTTGTGGCCTTATGATCTATCCTGGAGAATTTTCTTTGTGCACTCAAGAAGACTGTGTAGTTTACTTCTGTTGGGCTGACTGTAATCCCAGCTACTCAGGAGGCATTGGTGTGAGGTAGGACGATCTCAGTCCAAGGCCAGCCCAGCAAAAAAGACTGGAGGTGTGGCTCAAGTGGTAAAGTACCTGCCTAGTGAGCCTGAGGCCCTGAGTTCAAAACCTTGGTAATGCCAAAACAAAAGTTTACCTTACAACACATTGATTTTGGATATGTCACTAAATAGATACACATATGTGTGGTATTGTCTATTACTGAATCGTGGCCTGTATAAAGATACTAGAGTTTCATGCACTAAAGTGGGATTGACAATAATACTAGAGTTTTTAAAATGACTTATATGTGAAAGAATTTGTTTTCCTATAACGTGTGCCTATAAACTACATTTTTAATCTACTTAATCATACATTTGAGATAGACAAGCATAATTTAATATTTTTTGAAATCTTATTTTTTTTAAGTTTTTGTGCTTTTAAGTGTTAAAAATAGTGATTCCAGTTAGCTGAGCATGGTAAGGTAGCCCTGTTGATTTGTCTACCTGTTTGTCTCTGTTGACCATGTTGTATACTGAGTCAAGGATTCAATAGAATAGGATATCAGGCAGAGGTGTGTGATCGCATTGAGTAATTCCAGTGAAATTAGGGTGAAAGTCAACCCAAACATCAAAAATTTTTTATACTGTGTTTTCATTGTCAAAAATTTATTATTTATTTTTCATTTATTCATATCCAAAAATAAAATTAGAGAAACTTTAAGCCATTTTTATTTCCCAAACAAACCATAATTCTTTAATCCTTTCATGCTGGTTTTACATGTATAGCTAATCTTCCACAGAAGTTATTTTGCGGAAAGGTCCCAGAAGGTTTGGTTTAGAATTCTAAATGATAATGATCATAGACTTTTGCTTTTATATTTTCTGTTTTGTGTTTGAAAATTCTTATATACTTGCTTTTCACACAGCAGCTTTCCTTTTGTGTAGTATAAAGACCATCTTAAGTTGAATGAACTGTAGTTTTAAAATTAAGCCTCCAAAAGGTCAAGAAAGTACTGAGAAGAATCCTTTTTACCACTTATCTCCCAGACTGTTTACTGGTACCTCTAACAAAATCAGAAGACTATCTTACCTCTGTACCTTACAGCAGTGACATAGCCAAAAATTAAAACTTCATGAAAAAATTCACTGCTCCTAAACAAAGTGTATAATTGATCTCTGAAAAAGTTTACATCCATTTTTTAAGATTTAAGAAATTGATTGCTGACTTTTGAAGACTTTTCCCTATTAGAGTTCTTTGTTTAGATACAGCCCATGGAGTGGAAGGCATGGCTCAAGTGGTAGAGTGCCTGCCTAGATACAGTCCACCATCCATTATGCCATCTGTATTGTAACATTGTTCATGGGGTGAGGTTGCTGCGGGGGGTGGGGATAATGACGAACGCTGTCATGGGTTCTCTGTTGTTCATAAAATAATAATACTGCCTAGTTGCTGTACTTTTTTGGAATCTGTTAACACTATAAAGGTGTTAGAAAGCTTCCAAAATAACATGTGGTGTGTTTGACTGACTTTCTTCCTAATTAAACAATAGTCTAAAAATTGGACATTTCAGTATCCTTTGGTTTAAGTATGTGTTTCTTGTTCCTAGGGTACAAAGAAAACATTGTTTTGTTCTTTCAATATCCTTATTGATCAGTGTTATAAACTAACTGAAATGGAGCAAAGTAAAAAACGTATAATGAATTAGTAAATTTAATGAAATTAAATTCTTAAAATATAGCATCTATACAAAAACATTATCTGTTGGTCTTTGTGGAGAAGAGATAGGGACTTTGAGGGAAGATTGTTTCGGAGAGTCAGGACTGTCGTGCATTGTGTGTGGTGGCTTGGTGAGGTGGGGCCAAAGTGAGAAGACTGACTACTGGAATGTTGAGTGCCATGAGCTTAGCAGTCAGGAGTAGGCTAAGTTCAAAGTCTGTGGAAGTAAACTCGGCATACTGCTGAAAAGTAAGGATAGAGTCTGCGAACTTTTAAACAGTAATTACCTGAAGACTTAGGAATTTTAATTCATGATAACTTCTTTTTATAAAGGTTTACTTCTCATATTTTCCGTGAATAGGTTTAAGAAAATCTACCAAGAAGCGCAGTGAGTCCCCACCTGCTGAGCTCCCCAGTTTGAGGAGGAGCACACGCCAAAAGACCACGGGCTCCTGTGCTAGTACCAGGTAATTTTCAGCTTATGTTTTCATTTCACCTTCTGTTCAAGTATTTTCAGTTTTCTTCTTAATCCTTCTGCGTATTTGTTAAGTTATTTAAGGTGTTTTTTAAAGACGGGGTCTCTCTGTATAGCCTAGGCTGGCCTTGAGCACACTATCCTCCTGCCTCAGCCTCTCTGTACTGGGATTACAGGTGTGTATCACCATGCCTGGCGTAGTGTAGAATTGTCCACTGCACTATTGAGTAAAGACATATATCCTAAATCACTATCACTAGTAGTAGTATTTTTGTGAATTGTTACGAATGTTTACTTACGTTTTTTTACTAAGCTTTAATCATGTTATATATGTTTGTGTTGGTGATACAGGCATTTAAATTCAGGTTTTCACGCTTCCTAGGCAGTCAGATGTTCTACCACTTGAGCCACATCTTCAGCCCCAATTGTGTTGTTTTCTCCTCTTTTCCCACAGTATTTTCTAGAGTTATTGGCAGTACCATAGTTGGATATTTGGTTTTGTGGAATTCTAATCTACCAAGTGTATGTCTAATAAGCATCTTTGTCCAGATTTGAGTTTTTTTAAAGGTAGCTAAATTTCCCAGTGGTGTGATTTAAAGAATCAAAAGGGATGCCGTTATAGTGACTGTAATATTGGCTAATTAGTTTCCAAAAGTGTTGGCACCGTTTAGTAAGTTTAATGGGTAAGTAGAAGAAAGACACTTCCTTTTTATTACAACACCTGCCCATCAAGAAAAAAATGTGGGCATTGTGTTTTCATATTAATAATGTGCATTTCATCTTATTTTTAGAACATCTGTAACATTGATGAGTGGTACTGGATGTTATTTCACATCCTTTTATTAACCGATTGAAATTTTTAGGTTAAATGTAAAAATCTTTTTCCTGCAATCTCCTGTCAGATTTTCAGGCTAAATCAGTTGGCAAAGTGCAGCTTGTGCTATTAATTATTCAATAACCAGATGTGGATTTTGCCTCTTTTCTTATGTAGTTTGTTTGCTCTACTAAATGCATCAAAACCAGGGATTGGGTCATGATTTTAGCCTGCCTTTTTCGTGTTCTAACTGAGATAAGCAGTAAGATTTTAGCACTTCATTTTGTTCTTCATTAGGTTGTTCTTAGCAGTGATACAATAATGATTTATGGAAAACAGTATCACTTATCTATAAATCATAGGAAATGCCACTTTACCACTGTTCTCCCCCTCTCCCTCTTCTGAGGTGGCTGTGATTGAACCTAGGGCCTGACTAATCCATGCTTCACCACTGAGATACATTCCTGGTCTGTGTACCTATCTTCTAATTCTTCAGATTGTTTAAAATATCTGGAGTTAGCACATCTGTTTGCTTTTGAGGTTTCTTAGCAGTACTTTAAGGACTTCTGAGAAAATTTCCTCATTCTTCAGAGTTTTAGTCTTACTTTGGGTTGGATTTTTAATCTTACTGACCAAAGTTTATAATGTGAGATATAAACTGAATTCACTGTGCTTGAAAACTAATTTAAGGTGTATGTGACATCAGGTAATTTTAGTGTTATAATTGTCCTCTTCGTCCTTTCTCTGCATTCTTCTACAGACTACCACTTAATCAGCACATTGAAATTACCCATTATACAAAGCATGCTATGCACAAGCCATCTAAGCCTACCTGCTTGGATACTCTTCACATCCTCTTCTGATTTGAGTTTCCACTTAAATTCAGTGTCCTAGTATCTTAGGGAGATGCGTCTTTGTCTTTTAGACTAACAGTCCTTTAGGTCACCAGCCCTGTGCATCCACCATTCAGCCCAGTTTGTTAATGCAAATTAGTTGTTAAATGAATTTGAATTCCCCCAAGTTGTGTTTTGAGTGAGCTGTTTTCTTGCGAATGATTAGTTAAACCCACTCCAGTTTAGGGAGGAATTTTCACTAATCAGGAAAATAAACTCTTCCAGTACTCTGGTAATTCAGAGCCTTCCTTACATGTCCATTTTAGCCCACTAACTTGTTCTTCGTGAGGCAGCATCTAATTTTATTGCAGTTATTCTTAGTTTAAAACGTTTTAGTAGTAGGTGCTTGTATCTCCTAAGATAATCAGGTGATTTCCTGTTTAAATAGTATCAGGTTATAATATTGGGGTCGAGGAACTTTTTCTATCCAGTTTGCCTGCTGATATTGAAAGTAGGAAAAAGGTCATCATGAATAAAATGCAGTTTGCCTCCTGTAAAAGCAGTGGTCATTCTTCTTCCAAACTTATTCTTTCTCTCTGTCCTGAACATGTCTTCCCAAATGTTTATTTATAAATATTACAGTCCTTAATTGTTTATTTTACATGATAGACTTACTGTTCATTGTCAGTATAGTTGGTTTTGGATGTGTTTGGTAGTCCAGAACATGGCGAATGGACAGGATATTTCTGTCCTCATCTTTTCCTTTGCCCACTGTCAATGCCCTCTGCAAGTCTGTGTATATTGATCCACTTTGTAGCCTGGAAATGGGGCTCTACTTTAAATGAGTTGAATTTTTCTCCTTAGAAGGAGTCGTTTTTCCATTTAGTTGAAAGTGTTTAAAAAGTCATTTCTGCCCGTAAGAATGACAGCAGCTCTCAGTAACACAAGTGTGTATTGTGAATGTAGTATATCTTGGAAGAATTTTAAATATACAAAGTCTTAGTTGTTATACATAGTGATTTTCTGCAACAATTTTTATTTAAAAAGGAGAAGAAACTGGCTTTGTGCTTTATGAATTTGAGCTTTGTGTAGTCTATACATTGCTCCTGGTGTCCTGATGAGGCTGCCTATGATGACATTTTTCTGTTGCAGTCGGCGAGGCTCTGGCCTGGGCAAGAGAGGAGCAGCTGAGGCTCGTCGGCAGGAGAAGATGGCAGACCCCGAGAGCAACCAGGAGACACTAAATTCTTCAGCTGCCCGGACAGATGAAGCTCCCCAAGGAGCTGCAGGTAGATTGGCACTTGGTAGCCCTAAAACACATTTTTATATGATACAGATTTTCTAGAGGTTACTTTCTGCATCCTGAAGATAGTGAGAAAGAAGGGGACAGAAATCTTCTAGATGTTACCATCAAATAAGTTTTTTTGTTCTGTTTTGGTTTTATCATTTCATTATTTTGATTAGTGAATTCAGTTTTTCAAATTATTGTCTAATCCATATCTGCACTAATTACATGAAAGCGGCTTTTAGGAAGGGGTAGATTCTTTTCCACTTAAACTTTTTACATATTAAAGAATTTAAATTCACAATAAATGTAAGCATATGGTTTTGAATTGCTTAATAAATATATGAATTTTAATTGAGAGTTTCTAAGGCCTAAATAAGTGTTCGGTTTGCACCTGACCTATTTTAATAATGGTGTACACGTTTTTGTTGGCTTATTTTATTACTTGTTCTCTTAGAATGGCAAGAATTAAAGTGTTTCCCCTTCCTTTAGTTTAAAAAAAAAGTATCCAATCCATTAACAAAACAAAGCAGTATTTTAGCTGTTAATTGTGGCTAATGAGTTTTAAATTATAATTTGACTTTTTATAACAGATACAGAAGTATTATAGTTTGTCAGTATGGACATATGATTCCCTTAAATCAGGATGATACACACAGGACTAGATGTAGGCATATGTTTATTTCTGAACAGTAGGTATTTTTTTCATGTACTGTGGTTTAAAATTAGAATATATGCTAGTTTTCCTGCATGCTTCTGGTTTGTCATGTCATAGCTTGCTGGAAAGTTTCTGATACCCAGTGTGAGAATCAACTAAATTGAGTCTTTTCTGTCAAAGAGCTAGCTAGGTGGGTAGAACATGAGACTCTTAATCTCCGGTTGTGGGTTTGACCCTAACTCACCCCCTTCCCCAAATACCACACTATGGAATATGTCTGTCATTATGTGGCTATTAGCTAATTTCCCAGGTGTCTGTGAGCTCAGTGGCATGTTGCCTAACTGAAGTTTCTGCCTTTAATCAGAGATATGTTTGTCATAGGATGTCCTAAAACTCAAATTGCTAATTTTAGGATAATCATTGTCCAAAGGAATCAAGGTCCCCTTGGCCCATGAGTTAATTATGTACTTAGTGCTGCCATTTCAGGTCACACAGTCATTTCAGGCCTCAGTTTCCCAGAATCCTAAAATTCCCACCTTTATGGGTCACCTCTTTGTCTTTGAGAGTATACCAGCCAAATTAAGTTTTGTGTCCATGCTCTCCAATCATGTCTGCTCTTCCCCTCTGCCCTCCCCTAAACCTTAACTGTAGCCACTTGTAAAGACTGAACCCGAGCTTCCTTGGTCAGAGCAAAGGGGCAGTCCTGTGTTAGGGATAAAAAATGAGGTGGTTCTTTGCCCAGTGTGCTGGCTTGCTTGCCTGATGCCAGTTGGAGGCACACACATACCCTTCTGCAGAAGTAAATTTTGCCTTGTCCATCAACTTTCGAACATATGTCTTATTTGTAATGGCAACAGCACCCTGATATTTCCAACACCACTAATGTATTCTTGCTGTGTAGCCTAGCTTTTTTTCTTTTTAAATCTGTTCTGTTTCCTGCTTTGTATGATAAATTGCATTTTGAGTTTACAGCATTTCTTCTGATGGGAAAGGACTTTATCCCCTTTTCTTTTTCCTAGAATAGTTCTTCTGAAGAGTGAATTGGTAAATATTTGGAAAAATATAGACCACTTCATGTGCAACTCATCAAAGCTGTTTATGACCCACAACCTATCCTTTCAGTGTTATACTTTACTTTCCAGGCTCTTAGTGGTTATTTCAAGCCTGAATATGGAAGTCAGTCCAGTTCCCAAATGGATGAAAGAAATGGAGCTGTTGAATGTGTTATTATAGGAGACTCATTATAGTAATTACAATAGCTAACATTTATAGAGCATACATTCTAATGCAGATAGAGTATTAACACTTTATATATATTTTCCTTTAATAATCAAAACAACCTGTTAAGAGAAAAAACCAAGACATATTTTTTAAATTTGCAAAGATTTCCAAGATAGTATATATGTGTGACTCTCAAATCCATGTCTTAGAAATGAAAAGAACATTTATAATTGTGTTGTTTCCTTAGGGTTACAAGAGTTGGCTAGAATGAAGGGGTGGGTATAAAATCTTATTCTTTGGTACATTTCCTAAGAAGATAAAAGTTTGAAGGAAATCAGACTATTCAGACTGTCTTCCTAAATACTGTAATGTGTTTCATTGCCATTTGAAATCATAGTACTATACAAATATTTTGCAAATTTGTATGTTGTAGCCGGTGATAAAAAGATACATGTAGTATATTTACTGGTATGAGAAGAGCTTTGGGTTTAGTACATTTTGAAGGATGGATCTGTTTTGGATTGCAAGAATTCTCTGTTGGCTCGCTAAAATAGTGACATGGAAAGGAAAAATAGGCATCAACCTAGCACTCAAACAATCAGGGTCAGACCATTAAAAAAAAAAAAAAAACAGTTTTGTAAATTTTTCTCTCCCCAATTACCTTTGTTTAGAACCACCGTAAGTTGTGTTGTGACCATATTACCTGATGCTGGACCCCATAGTGAGGAATAAGCACATCCTAGCAGCCATGCTGCTGGACTTAACTGAACAGTTTTATGACATTTCCAACTCACTGCTCCCACCTCCAACTCCCCCCAAAAAGGAGAGAAAATCTTCTGTTGCCTCCTTGTATTTTGTATATCTGAAACTCTTAGTACATCTTGGCAAGTAAAATCTAATTCTACAAACTTCCTAACATTTTATCTTTACTTTCTATGTAAAGGATTGCATTGCTTAAATTATAAAAAATACTGGTTGCTCTATGATAGAAATCTTGTGTTCTGATTTAAGTAACATTTTGTCCATTATTTTCAGGTAGGTATTTATTGTAAACTATTATACATAGTACTGCAAAGATAAGTATTGAGTTAGACTAGAGAAATACCTGGTTTAAGGAAAAAGAAAGATTGAGACTGCTGGAAATCTCTGCTGATGCTCATATTTTTATTTTTGACTAGGGATAAATACGGTTCACGTGCTCAAGGAAGTAGGCAGCCTTGACTAAAGAATTTTGTAATTGACTCCTATTGATTGATTATATTTTCTTATCTGCAGGACTTTGCAAAGTAGCCATGTCTCTTCTCTTTGTTAAATGAGCCTAAAGACTAGACCAATTTGGGTTTTTGTAAAACATGCTAAAGGGAACTACAATGGACAAATGTTACTCACTTGTCATCAGAGGACTGGCTAAAAAAGATCCCTTTCCTTGCTCTGTTAGCTGGTTTCTGTCAAAAGTGGCACTCTACTCCATTGAAAAGCAGAGTAACTGACCTTTTTGGTAGTGATTCTGTGACTCCCTATAAGTTGGGACTTCACTGTGATAGAACTGTAGCAGCTCTTTTAATTATATATTTTACAAATTTTATATCTTTGTGGCATTGTAACTTGAGATATTCATTATGAAATTCATTAGAACAGTAAAGTAAAAAAATCTTTAAAAGTAAACTCAAATTCAAAAGCCAGCATTACCTGAAGTAAAGTTATGATAGTTTTTTTAATGTGTGGGTTCCATAGAATGCTTTTAAATACTACTATTTCATGTTAAAATTTTGTGTTTGTTTTCCATATACCTGGACAAGCCAACTTAACAAACCCAGCCATAATTGCCACCTAATGTACAGTATTTATTCACAGGTTTCTGTGTAAAATGTAAAGAAATGGGTATAATTGAATTAAAAATTGTTGACTTTTATGTTTAAGGAGCTGACATACAGTTCTTACGAGTATAGTCAATGAAGTCAGACTATATGGGTTTCAAATCTCTGATCCTTTACTAGCAATCTGACTTGTGCAAGAATACTCGGTTTCTTCACATGCATAAGCTTATACCTCTTTGTATCGTTGTGGAGAAGCATTTAGACACTTCCTTCATGTGATGAGCATTAATGACTTATAACCAGCACCATACAGTATCATTTACTGCTTAATCTTCATCAATAGCAGTGTGGATCTTGTTAAACCTTGATACCCTTTAATATCAGTATCTCTGGTTAACCTATATCTCTAAGCCATGGAGGTGTTAATAGTTTTAATAAAAGGACAGTAAATGTTTTACTCTTTTTATCGTCTCTGTTGCAGTTACTGAATTCTGTGATTGTAGTTTAAACCAGCAGCCACAGACAATGTGTAAATGAATAAGTCCAGCGATGTTTTAATAAACCTGTAATTACAAAACCATGTGGTGGACTAGATTTGAGCTTTGGGCCGTAGTCTGCTGCTGACCTTTGTTCTAACCCATACATTCTTCTTAAACTTAAAAAAATTTAACAGCCCCACTGAAGTTATACAAAATATTCAGTGGTGTGTGTGTGAAGGAAGGTATTATAAAACATACACTTGGTGGCTTGTGCATCGACAGCTTTTACTTAAGGAAAGCTAGAGGTTTCTTGTTTGGTTTTATTTTTAATTTTTTTGAGACATGGGTTTGTGTAGCCCAGGACGGTCTTGAACTCAAAATCCTACTTTCAGATTCCCAAATACTGGAATTTGAGATCTGCACAACCACAGCAGGCCCAGAAAAGGTTTTTACGTTCACATGTTGTTACTCGTGTACCTCTTCAGTTTTCCTGACTCAGATTCTGTCATTATCTGTCTAGTAAATAGTGTTTAAGATGGTATGAATCTCTAATCATATTTTGATGAATCTTATTTATTTAAAACAATGCTTAGCACTCAATAAGATACTTACAAGAAGTATGGCAGATTCCTAGTTTTGCAGGAATAGTTTCTCCTCTGGCCAGATTCATAATAGATCTACCTAAATGACCATACTCTGGTTTTGGTTCAGGCTAGTATTTTGTGTAGTAGTATACTTCTGAATCTTAATTCTTCATTCTATACTAGTTTTGGCATCTTAGTTTCCTCTCTTTCATATTTGGTTTCAGTGCTTTGAAGTTATCTATTACTTGTAATGTGTATTTTCAGTGTTGTTTTTTTTTTTTTTTTACTCTTGATATTGGAGAAAACAGATCATGATTGTTGACTATTAAATGCATGATGGTTTCAGCAGTTCAGCAGTACTGCCTTCACTTACATCTGGTGAAGGGTTCCAGGACAAGACTTAATTCACTGTTTCAAAGGGATGAGGAGTCTGTCAAAAGCCATTTATGAATGAAACATGAAGGTTATAGTTTTATACTTAATATTAAGGTGGTTGAGCTCTCATTTTCTAATGGCTACAGAATGAAGTTTTGAACAGTTGAATGTGCAACTGTTCATTTATTTATTGTAGTGTGTAAAACATTATATATTGTAGTGTGTAAAACATTGGTTTTTCTTTTTTTAAGATAAGCCAAATGTTCCTCTCCTAACCTTCATCTTCCCCCTTCCCCCCAAGCCTCTAGTTCTGTTGCAGGGGCTGTTGGCATGACCACTTCTGGGGAGAGTGAATCTGATGATTCTGAGATGGGACGATTACAAGGTAAAGGCAGTCAATGGGCTTCAAGAAATGATCACCATGGGCAACCAGCTACTCCTGTTCTGTGTTGAAATTAATTCAGATGTGTTCATTTAAACTTCATCTAGTGGTGCCTGCACTGCCAAAAACGGCTTAAGCAGTGGCCATATGATGCTTTGGGTTTAGAAGATGAGATGTTTATATCTTCCATGTTTACAGTTTAACTAGATAAAGCCTTGCATATTTTTTTATATTCTAAAAATTTCTTCTTTGTGGTTATATGTGTATCTGGTTCCAGTAGTAAATTATAAACATCCTGAGGCTGGCAGAGTGGCTTAAGCCTTAAGAACCCCTGCCTAGCAAGCATGAAACCCTGAGTTCAAATCTCAGTGCCAGGAAAAAAAAAAAAACCCACCTCAGAACATCTTGAATGGGTTAGCTTAGCATGTTGTTCTCTGGTACACAATAACATTGTGAATGAATCTAGTAATAATGGCTTTTTTTTTCAACTCATGTTCTTTTTGGTTTATTTTTTTGGTCACCTACCTCAAAGTGAATTGTATAGTGTATACATAAATTCCAGATTTTTTAAGTATTGTGAGAGCCTTTACAAAAAAAAAAAAACCCAAATAAACCTTGTATTATGTATATATCCTTTACAAACACATGAGTATATATTTTCTATTTCAGATGGTAGATACATAATAGATCCCCAATGTGAAGCTTACAAGTCAATTTCAGATTGCTTTTTGATTCCTGAGGGAAATGACTCTTTTTGACTAGAACTCCCATGAACACACAGTTTTTCTTATTTTTGAAACTGTTAAAAAATACTATAATGATTTTCGTAATGTTTTTGGAGGGTCTCATGACTGGGAAATAATGTCCAGAGGGAAAGTGGGACTGGGGTGCTTAATATTATATAATTTCTTTAAAACAGATATTTATCTTAGGTTCTTGGACTATTTATGCCATTCCTGCTGGCAGTGGGTTTTAAGTTCTCCAAAAACTTTGTGCTGCTTGAAGCTGGTACCTGTGTATTTTGATTTTTATTAATTGTATTAATACATGTAGGTGGTTTTAGAAGTTTAATATGGCTTCTCTTAAAATTTAGAATGGAAAGTAAAATTAGCTAGCTCAGTTATGTGAGATGAATCCAGTTCCTTGACATTTTTAGGTAAGATCTGTTGCATTAAATCAATTCAACCACTCCCCCTGTCCTTCTTGTTTTTCTTTAGCTCTGTTAGAGGCCAGGGGTCTTCCTCCTCACCTGTTTGGTCCTCTTGGTCCTCGGATGTCACAACTTTTCCATAGAACAATTGGAAGTGGAGCTAGTAAGTGAAGACTTAAATTTTTCTCTCTTGAAAACCCCATAATAATTCATATTGCATACTTATTAATAATAAGTATTTGGAAATTTTGTGAAGTTTTAATCATTTTTTAAAAACAGAAATTATGTACATTCTTGCCTTAAATTCAGCATCTATTTGATTTTCTTTTGTACTTTTATTACTGATTACTGAATTGAAATCACTAAAAGCCATCCAGATTTTATAGCAAGATTGACTCTGTTCGAACTGTAGTATAGTAATTAACACTGACAATGATGTTATGATTCTGTTTTCATAGATTTAAATCTTGAGTTTTTATGATATAATAAAAATTTCCTATAAAACAATCAGTCTTAATATGAACCTGAGAGGAAAGATTTTTCAGAATTACTAGTCCAGAGATCTTATATAATTGATATAATGATGATGTTTCCAGTCTCAGTTTGTAACTAAAAGTGTGTCTCGTATATTTATAAATCCAGTTAAATTCTTTCAGGTATCGAGTTAATTTTTAGCTTCCTTAAAATTTACATTTAAACTTTTTAATAACTTCATTGGTAATGTTTTCATAGAATCAGTAGGTAATTTGTAGCCTTGCTTTTTCAGAATTTCTGAAATGTTTTTGAAGCCTGTTAGCTCTGACTTCTAATGTGTGTTTATATAATTTGACATCAATTATTTCAAGGTTCCCCTCACCCCCTAAAGTCAATTCATTGGGTGTACTTGTGCTTACATAAGTATACTTGAAGTTTTTTTTCAGTTTCTGGCCTTAATATTTGGCAAGTAAATCTATGAAGCAGCTGGTATTTTTTGTTTGTTTTTGTTTTGGCTTTGCTGCTTTGACAAATCTCAGATAACATACCCTGCTGTGAATCTTTTTTTTTTTTTTTTTTGAGACAGTATCTTGCTATGTATCCAAGACTCATCTCAAACCCTTGATCCTTCTGCCTCAGCCCCATGTGTTGGGATTACAGGTGTATGCCACCATACCCAGCTTCTTGTGAACTCTTGAATTGGGTATTTATTTAGCACTGTTTACTAAATGCTGGGATTGTACCGAATTATAAATAGGATAAGCATAGTTATGTTTGCCAGTACAGTTAAGGAAACAAAGCAGAGTAAGGATGTTGGTTTGTTGGAGGAGGGAGATAGGTAGGCTGGTTAGAGAAACCTTACCCAAAGACTCAAGATTTTGTAGAAAACTTAAGTGAGAAAAGCAGCCACTCATAGGTCCCAAGGAAAGAACATGTGCAGCATCAAAGGTGGGAATGAATTTGCATCTTTGAGCCAAAGGGAACTATGGAGATAGTGATGAAAGTCAAAGAAGACAAAGGGAAGGGGATGTGTAGGCATCTACCAAGCCATGGAGGGCATTGGCAGGCTACCCACAAGTATAGGTTGAAAAAGATTAAACATAGACTAAAGTTGCAAATGTGTGATCATCCCCATGAATTCACCAACTTATTATCAATCCACATAGCTATTTACTTCCTTTATATCTTCAACATTTTTCCCATGCATAAAGATTCTGTTTTGAGACAGGATCTCCCTACATATAAGTGCATTTTGGTCTGTAACTGGCAATTCTTACCTCAGTCTTCTAAGTGCTGTGATTGCTCATGTGTACCACCATGCCTGGCTCAAAAGGTGTTCTATTTGTTTAAAGTTTTCTTCTTTTTAAAAAATTACATTTTTCTTGTACTGGGGATACATTGTGTCATTTATAAAAGTTCTTACAATATATCATAGATTAATTCATCCCCTCCATCATTCTCCTTTATCCCCCACCTCCATTTCTGGAACAGTTTCAACAGGTCTCATTTTTATACATGAGTACCTAATATTTCCACCACATTCACCCTTTCCTTATATCCTCCCCCCTCACTGTTACCAACCCCTCAGACAGGACCTGTTTTACCTTCCTGTTCTCTGTTTTTGAAAAAAAAGATGTACATGGTGTTTCATTGTGACATTTCCATGTATATATGTATTGTAACCTGAATTGGTTCATCCCTTTTATTTTTCTCCTTTCTTGTGGTGATTTCAACAGGTTTAAGTATTCTATATTCATTCTTGTATAGGAAGTACATCCACCATATTCACCATCTTAACTTCCTTCGTTTACCCTCCCTCTCCCATTAATGGTCTTCTCTTAGCATGACTGTTTTTTCAAAATATTGCTTGTATTTGTATTAGGTCTGTATTACACAAATGAGAGAAAACATCCAGTCGTTGGGTTTCTGAGCCTGGCTAACTTCACTTAAGATGATGATCTCCAGTTCCATCCATTTATGTGCAAATGACAAAATTTCATTCTTCTTTATGGCTGAATAAAATTCCATTGTATTTTCTTGATCCATTTATCAGTTGTGGAGCATCTTGGCTGTTTCCATAGCTTAGCTATTGTGAATAATACTGCAATAAACATGGGTGTGCAGGTGTCTTTATTGTAACTTGATATATCTTCGGATATATTCATAGGAGTGGTATTGCTGGATCATATGGAAGTTGTATTTTTTAGTTTTTTTGAGGAGCCTCCATGCTGTTTTCATAGTGGTTTTACTAGTTTACATTCCTACCAGCAGAGTATGAGGATTCCTTTTCCCCACAACCTTGCCATTGTCTGTCATTGTGTTCTTGATGATAGCCATTCTAACTGGTGAGGTGGAATTGTAACGTGGTTTTAATTTGCATTTTCTTTGGATGTTGAGCATTTCTTCATGTATTTTTTTGGCCATTTGGACTTCTTCCTTTGAGAAAGCTCTGTTCATTTCATTTGCCCATTTCTTCATTGAGTCATTGATTTTTTTGGGGAGTTTAGTTTTTTGAGCTCCTTGTATATTCTGGTGGTTAATCCCTTCAGATGTATAGCTAGCAATGATTTTCTCATTCTGTGGGCTTCCTCTTCATTCTGGTGACCATTTTTGTTGTACAGAAATTATTTAGTTCAATGTATTGCCATTTGTCGATCCTATCTCTCTGTTGCTGAGTCATTTGAGTTCTATTTAGGAAGTCATTGCCTATGCCTATTAATACCAGTGTATTCCGTATTCTTTCCTGCACTAGCTTCAAAGTTTCAGGTCTTATATGAAGGTCTTTAATCCGCTTTGAGTTGATACTCGTACAGGGTGGAAAACATGGATCTAGTTTCAGTTTTCAAGAGTATTGTAAAGTCAATCCTAGGAGTCATTTCATCTCTATGTGTTTGAATTATTAACTATGAAAGTAATCGTATACTTAAGTTTAAGACAATATTGTGATAATATTAAGAAGAAAATGTTTCCTAAGTTCAAAGTTTAAATACTCCTGTACTTTTATAAATCCCTTTTAAAATTTTCTTTAGCTCAGAATAAGATTTATATATTGTGATCCATTAATATGTTTCTCAAGTTATTTTTATTTTTTATTTCTTTGATACTTTTGAACTCAGGGATTCTTCATGCTTGCTAGACAGATACTCTTACCACTTGAGCCACTCTGCCAGCCCTTCAAGTTATTTTTATTTATTTATTTATTTTTTATTATTCATATGTGCATACAAGGCTTGGTTCACTTCTCCCCCCTGCCCCCACCCCCTCCCTTACCACCCACTCTGCCCCCTCCCTCTCTCCCCCACCCCCTCAATACCCAGCAGAAACTATTTTGCCCTTATCTCTAATTTTGTTGTAGAGAGAATATAAGCAATAATAGGAAGGAACAAGGGGTTTTGCTGGTTGAGATAAGGATAGCTATACAGGGCATTGACTCACATTGATTTCCTGTGCATGTGTGTTACCTTCTAGGTTAATTCTTTTTGATCTATCCTTTTCTCTAGCTCCTGGTCCCCTTTTCCTATTGGCCTCAGTTGCTTTAAGGTATCTGCTTTAGTTTCTCTGCATTAAGGGCAACAAATGCTAGCTAGTTTTTTAGGTGTCTTACCC